GTGGCTGGAAGGGCTAGGTGGGAGGAGTGACAGAAGTGTGGTGCTACCAAGCCCCAGGATTAGCCTGTTCCACCTTCCATGCCACAGGGGCCAAGTGAGCTTTCATGGGGTGAATTAAGGATCCCACGGCCCAGGGTAGGGAGAGAGGTTTGCCTCCTAGACCACCAGCAGATCCATGGGTCCTGTGGAGGCTTCAGGGAAGATTGTCCAAGGCTGCTTCTACGTAGCAGGGCAAGGCGTAACTTCTGTGATCTGCAGCCATGGCCACTGCAGGAGCTGGAGATTAGGCAGAAGTGACTCTGTGAGCGTCAGGTAGCAGCCATCCCCGGCAGGCTCACCCCTTGCTCTGTTTCCTCTACTCTAACCCATAACGAAGGGGAAGGCCAGCCTCAGCTCCCCACCCCCCGCCCCGCCTCGTGTCTGTAGGTTGGCAGCAAGCCCCAAAGCCCTGGATGTGGCCGCAGGTCAGGATGAGTCTCTCCAGGGAGGGGGTGTCCGGCCTCTGCAGGTGCTTGGGAAGCCCCAAACCCTGGGATGAGGGGCTGCCTGGGAACCCAGGTGGTGTGGACAGTGGGCACCGGGGGAGGTGGGGTCAGGGCAGCTGGCGGTTGGAATCTCTGGGCAGGGGCACGGCTACCGCCTCGTTGGAGTGCTGGGTCAGAGTGGCTGGACTGGTTTTCGGCACTGTTTTTTCAGCTGGTGGGAAGGGATGGAAGTATGCACAGGCCTCCTTCCTGTGGCCTTTGTGGGGAAAGAGGTGGATAGCAGTGGTTAGGACCCAGATGGGCCTGGGTTCTAGTCCTGGCTTCGTTGCCTTTAGCGCTTGTGACCTTGGTCTACTTCTTTAACCTCTCAAAATCCTCATTTGCAGAATGGAAAAATCAGTATCTTTCCAGCAGGAATCTGTCCTCATGAAGTGAGCTGGAGGCTCATAAAATGCTTAGCACAACACAGGGTGCATAGTAATCCCTCAATAAATCACAGCCACTTTATGAGGAAGGTGACAGCGACAGGGAGCTCCGTTCCGTCCCCAAACAAGAGCTGGCCCAGGACTGTGTGCGGGCTCCCTTCTCCCATCACTCTCCAGGCTGGGATAGAAAAGGAAAACATTGCTGTGTATGAAATTGGGAGCCAAGCTAAAGAATCCTGCGAGCACGCAGGGGCCACCTCCTCCCGCGAAAGCTGTTTCGCTAACCCCGAGGACGGGCTGCCCCGTCTAACAGGGTGTTGGCCTGGCTCTTGCTTTCTCTCTGCCTAACCCAGCCACGGCCTCCCTGCCGGGTCAACTCATCTGATTGTGGGAGACTGGTTGAGGCCTCCTCCTATCCTGAAGAAATCCCAGCCGTAACCAGTGAGGCACTCCGGCCAGAGCCATAGCTGCATGTGGATGGGAGCAGACAGCTGGCACCCCAATTTCATGTCCGGACTCGGCTCCCGTGCAGTGGCGCTGGGCGGAGCCACAGGCAGAGGGGTTAGGTGAAGAGTGTGTCTGAGTCTGCTGGAGGGTATGCTGACAAGCAGCAGCACCTGTGTCTTCCCCTCCCCCTGGCGAGGGTGGACTATGCTGATTCCCAGGCCTCGGGAACCAGCAAGGGGCACTGGGGGAGCCCCAGGACTGGCAGGCAGAGCCGTGCTGGGAAGCAGGCTGCAGAGGCTGGAGACCAGTGAGCAGCCTAACCCAGCCTAGCCCAGTCCTACCCCAGTCCCTGTACCGCCTGGGGCCGTAAACCCTGCTGCAGCTCCTATGTGTGATCTGCAGCTAATGCTGCTTCCTGCCCTGGGGAGCTGGGGCCCTCGGGAAAGCTGCCTCTTGCTGGGTGATCCCAGGGAGGTAGGGAAAGCGCGCAAGACTGTGGCTCCCCAATGCCCCCGGACCAGAGCTGGCAGTGTCAGCTGGGAGAAGGACCCGCAGTCCAGCTTTCGACCCTTTCACTGTCCCAACCTACAGGCCCCCTTCAGGCACCCAGTTTTGCCAGCTCTTCTGCTGCCCATCCCCTTAGCACTCACCTACTGATCCCCAAAGCACGAGAACACTCGGCGTGTCCCTGGCAGCAGTGTTGACCTTGGGAGGGGATGTCCAATGAATTGCAGGGCCTGCTGGCCCCCTGTGGGCCCAGTGCCAGCCACACCCCCATCCTCCACTAGAGTAGACCTGCGGGAGGGAAACAGGATTCTGCCCACTCTCGCCTGGGTCCCGAGTTTCTAGAACAGTGCCTGCCACACGACACGCCCCGAGAGACAGCATTTCCCAGTGTTCCAGAAGGCTCTGGTGCCTGCAGCTGGAAATTCCTGTTGTAGAGCACCCCCGGAGGAGGGTGGTCCTCCCTGCTCTCAGCACTTCACATGATCAGAAATCCATGACTCAGCCCCCTCTGAGATAGCTCGTTATCCAGAAAAGCCACCACTGTCCCCTCCTGGTCCTGGGCCCCTTGGTAACCGTTCTGTGTGAAGTCCAACGCCCAGAATGGCGCAGTGAACCTCACGTGCGGCCCTGCCCTGGAGAACAATGGGCTGATCTCGGCCCAGCCCGGGTAGATAGGCGGTGACGCCGGCTGAGCGCCTATTTGCTTACCCTCTGGCGGCCGCCCTAGTGTTTGTTTGTTGGGTCAGTAACCAGCTAAAACCCAAGGACTTTCCCCTTTGATCCTGTGCTGCCCTTTTCCAGTCCCAAGCATAAGACTTGACGACTTAAGTAGACTCATCTCTTGATGCTTTTGGCCCACGTTTCCAGTCCAGAGGGATTGGAACCTCCGTCCTGCCCACGTTTCATGTTCACTCCCTTCCCGTGCTGTCGTTGTCTGCAAGGTTGTATCCTGGGCACATCAGAGGGGTGACAGTCACTGTCTGCACCATGTTGGTGACCCACACACTAGAGAAGCCAGGCCCTGGACCCGGTAGTAGAGTCCCGAGTCCGGGTGGATGATGAGCAGTGCCTCTTGGGGTTGTTCGGCCGCCTCCGAGCGAGCCCCACTCATCCTAGCTCTGCCCCACATTTCTGTGTCTTGTCCGCGTGAATATCTTGAAGTCCATCTGCAAGCTGCCCTGCTGAAATCGAGACTGGCTGCATTCCACGGATCTTCAAGGCCTTGGGCTCCTGTGGAAAGAGAGATGCACTTTGCCGAGTGTGACCTGCTCGTGTCTGTGCAAGCCTCCCATGCCCACCACTTCCTCTTTGGAATGTTCCAGACATTCTGGCGCGCCCCGCCCCCCTGAACGCACCGTGGAGAAAGTCCCAGCAGTTCAGGATCCTTTGCTTTCTGAGTTCCTAGGACCTATAGCCTTTCCTGTTTTGCGACGGCAGGGCCAGCTTATCTTTCCTGTTCCCCACATCGAGCGCCGGCCAGGGGTCCAGTCCCCCACTCACAGGTGCTTTTGCTCACTCTCTCTGTCTGCTTTAGGATTTCCGACTTAAGACTGATGCTGAGATAACAAGATAGGCAGCCAAAGGGGAGCTGAGCGGGTCAGCTTTCTCTGCCATCTGTTTAATATTAACCCACAGGGCCCTCGTTACTTCCTCATTCTCCTGCCCCAAACATAAGATGTAATTTTGTCAAACACCTTTTGGATGGTCCCTGATTCGGTGCTATCTCCTGTTGGCTGTTGCTAACTAAGTGTGCTGTGGTTGTGTCACATTTCAGCAGCCTGGCCCCCGCGTCGTACGTGTCGTCCGTCCCTGTAAGGATGCGGTGCAGCCGGCACAGCCTTCAGAGATGGCGTGGAGGCAGGCAGCGAGCCGTGTGGTTTGATGGCTTGTCAGACAAACATGTCATCATGGAAAATTCTTTATAGAGTGTGCAGATCCATTTACACAGGCCTGCTGCTGCATCTGCAAAACGCACATTCCATCCGAGCAGGCCACCCGCTTCTCCCACCAAGCCTCGGTCGTGCCGCGGGCGGTTTGCAGCCATGGTTTTCCTGTGTCCCTGCTTCCCTCGCTCACTCCGTCACTTCTCCTTCAGTCCCCCCACCCCACCCCCACCCCCACCCCCACCCCACGGCTTGGCTTCTATAGGGAATTCAGCTGAGTTTCTGGTCTCTGGGCTGGGCGGCCCATCCGGGGATGGGACTCCAACCCTAGGTTTAGTGCCTCTTTTGGGCATGGCCAAGGTGCAGGCTCAGGCATCAGAGCCTCCCCGCCCCAATCATTAGGTAGGGGTGAGAATGGAGGATGGGTGGGCAGCAGGGTCTCGTCACAGGGAACAGGATTTGTGTTGCTCAGTAACCCCCAGCAGACGAGACCCCTCCTGGGCCTCTCAGTGTGGACTTAACCCAGGGGGCCTCCCACTTGCTGTCCGGAGCTACTGCTTGGAGCTAGAGACTGAGCACAATCTCCATTCACTCCTGAGAGGTGCTAGCCACCGTCACATCTCTCCCTGCCCAGACGGTCTGCCCAGCCCAGGGCACTGAGGGTAAGATCCAGGGGAGGGAGAGGGTGGATTAGAGAGAGGCGGACGGAGCAGAGAGCATCCAGCCGACCTTAGCAGCAACCCTATGCTGGGCTGAAGGGTATGAGTGCCTCCCAGACCAACCCTGAGCAGGCACTCGGCCTCTGCAAGTAGGACACACTCAGTGGAGGGTTGGGGGTGAGGTGAGGGGGCGTAGGGGACCTCCACTGTCTGTGCTACTTTGGCCACCACTGAGAGCTAAAGGCGTGATTCTCAGAGCATGGTGCCTGACCTGTAAGTAGCGTCAGCCTCACCTGAGAACTTGTCAGAACTGCCCCTTCCCAGACCGACTGAATCAGCAGCCCGAGCAGTCTCCAGGTGATTCTGGTAAGCGCTAGCGAGTGTGCTTTGGAGCCAGATTGTCTGGGTTCGTTTCCTTATCGGCTGCGTGACCTTGGGCAAATCACTTGAACCTCATTGTTCTCTATAAAGTTCTTCACTTGTAAAATGGAACACCATTGTGTTGCTGAAGCAGAGACTCTGAGTTTAATGTCACTCAAAGGATCTGTGAGTGTGGCCCCTACTCTGACCTTCGTTGTAATCTCTCTCTCGTAGGTAGTGTCTGATGCCTCAGGGCAGGGGGTGGCCATCACAGGGAACCAGACCTTCAACAACTGGAACTGGCCCAATGCAATGATTTTTGCAGCCACGGTCATCACCACCATTGGTAAGTTTGCTCTTGTTCCCATGGTCTCGTGCAGGGTGAAGTCAGGCCAGTTGCAGTTGGTCCTATTGATACTTTCCTGGTACCTAGGAGGTCCTTGGTGGCTGTCCATGCCTGGGGGACCTTCTGTGAATCCTGACCTTGAGTAGAAACAGTGACACCGTCTGACAGCAGAGATGGGGAACCTAAGGTCATTTACTACACACACCAGGACTGTGCCCCATCCTGTGGGTGAAGCAGGTTCCACTGGCGGATTCCTGCTTGGACTGTCAATCAAATGCTGACCGGATCTGGGGTCACGCTGGAGCCTAGGCTGTCTTTGTGTGGGCTACAGCTCCTCCTGCCCATCCCGGGTGACGGCCGGTGCTGTCTGGCAGCTGGGCAGAAGCTCACCCCGGATGTGGCTTGAATGTTTCACACAATGGGGGGCTGGATGAGGGAGCATCTCCAATGTGAGCATTTCAAGGGGATCAAGGGCAGAAACAGCAGGCGTCTTGGACTTCAGCCTGTCCTGCATCACCTGTGCTTTGCGTTCTGTGGTCGAGCCCCGGGAGGAGAGCTGGCCTCACCCTGGGGCGGGAATGGAGGGTGGCCGTGTCTGGAAGCCATCTAAGGCTGTGCTTCTGGGATGTCTGCCCAGAGAGTGTCCTCTCCTAGTTTGCACAGTGGCGCCAGGTGGAGGCGGCATAGCCCAGGCCATTGTCATTGCTATGTGAATGGTCACGCTCAGACCATGATCAAGTATTCATAGGAGATCGCAATCTTCGGGTTGGGTGTGTGTGTGTGTGTGTGTGTGAGAGAGAGAGAGAGAGAGATACCACTCCTGCTGAGGCTCTGCCCTCAGCCTCACCATCTCCTCCCTCCCCCAGGTTATGGCAATGTGGCACCCAAGACCCCCGCCGGGCGCCTCTTCTGTGTCTTCTACGGTCTCTTCGGGGTGCCGCTCTGCCTAACGTGGATCAGCGCCCTGGGCAAGTTCTTCGGGGGACGTGCCAAGAGGCTGGGCCAGTTCCTCACCAGGAGAGGCGTGAGCCTGGTGTGTCCTCAAGCCCTGGGTTCCGGGAGGATGGGAAGGGAGGTGCCCATAGTTGGGGGATGGTGTCAGAGCTCCCCTCCCTCCTGGGTCAGGCTGGGACCCTCTGCGAGCCCCTGCTGGGTTCCTTGAGTCTCTTCTCCCGTCACCCCACCCCACCCCCCAGCGGAAAGCACAGATCACGTGCACGGCCATCTTCATCGTATGGGGCGTCCTGGTCCACCTGGTCATCCCGCCCTTCGTGTTCATGGTGACCGAGGAGTGGGACTACATCGAGGGCTTCTACTACTCCTTCATCACCATCTCCACCATCGGCTTCGGTGACTTCGTGGCCGGTGAGTCCCTGCACCTGCGCCCGGCCTCTACTCCCCATCACTCTCTCTGCTTCTCCTCAACTTCAGTTTGACAAACCCTTGCCAGGGGGCCCTGGCAGGCGGTGATGGGGTTCTCAGCCCACCCTGCCAGGTACAGGAGGAAAGGAGGGCCCAGAGAAGTCCTTCCACTTGGGCATGGCTTTTCTTCTTTCTTCTCTCATCCAGAACTTCCGGGAGTGGGAGTGGGGGGTGCTGGGATTCACACAGGGCCAGAACTTCTGCCCCCAGCCTTGTGCCTGTCACCCACACAGCCCCTGAGCTGAGCCAAGAGCCTTGGCCCTCTATGAACAGTCTCCCCTCATTCACTAGGGCCCAGGGGGCTGTCGGGGGAGTGTTCAGAGGCCACAGGCAGTTTCAAGACAAGAGAGGCCTTCTCCCAAGCTGCCCCGCCCCTCAGCCTCCTCCTCCTCCTCCTCTCCTTGCAGGGAGGGGTCTGAAGGACACTTGTGTGCTTGTGCCCGCGGCCTGCACAATGGCTTGGTTCTTTGTCTCCCTGGTGCCCTGTATGGCCCTGTTGACCCAGCCTTTGTCCCCTCCATGCCCAAGCCCTGCCCACTTGACCTCCTGCGCTGCTCCTGGGGCCTCTCATCTCTCACCCCCAGCTCCTGGCCTGGGGGCAGGAAGGGTCACTGCCCTTCTGCCCCACTGTGTGTGGAATGCTGGGAAGGGACAGGGGAGAGGCAGGACCACTCCTGACCCTGGCAAATCCTGGCCTGCCTGTCTTGGGAGATAGAGGCCCGGCCCTGCCATTATGGAGCCGTGGGGGCCCCGCACAGCCCCCCGGAGAAGCCTGTGGTACGCTGGGGCAGCACAGCAGCGTATTGAACCATGCTCCCCCAGCTCCAGCAAGACGCTAGACCTCTGCCTCAGTTTTCTCATCTGTGAAATTGGTATACAAACAGCATCCCCTGCCACACAGGATGGTGGAAGATGACAGATGAGGGCGCTTCCAAAGGTCTGGGGGAAATAAAGCTAACAGGTAACTGATATTGGCGCAAAAGGTTTGAAATCCATGCCCACAAGGGGTCTTTAAAAAGTTCATGGAAGAATGTTGACTATGAAAAAGCTATGCGTGGATTTTGAAATGCTCTACACCCAAATGCGCTTATCTCATAATTCCATTTTCCCATCGCCTCTCTGAAGTCCTCAGAAGTGCTGAGAAGGCCGGCCAAGTCAGTGTGTGTCCACATTGCATCAGCTTCCCCACTGGGGATGAGATGCTTGAGCAAGACTGACAGTGCCCCACAGGTAAAGCAGCTTGTCCGATGAGGGAGACACAGCCCCAGCCCGGGGCAACCTCTGATCTGCTGTAGGTCAGCCCACTACCTCTAGTCCTTTCTCTTGGCTGCTCACTCAGCAGACAGGCTAGAGACACTTGTCACTGTGAAGGCAAAAAAGAATTCTCACATAATCCTCAAGTGTGGGAGAACCATCTGAGCTGGTGGGAGTAACCCAGGAAGGCTTCCTAGAGCAGGCTTCAGGAGCGTAGCCTCAGAGGAGAGGGAATTTGAGCAGCCACAGCCTTCTAGGCCAAAGAAAGAGCCCATCTGAGGAGGGCAGAAACAAGAAGGGGGGGAGGGGTTGCAGATCAGACCTTCTAGAAAAAAGGTTCAGAATACAAAGGAGCCTCTCAAAGTTCATGGGGGAGTGAAATCCAAAGATAAAGGTTGTTTTGGTGCAAGGACATTTTGCAATCTGCACCCGGGAGGTCTTCCCCTGAACAGGCCGGTTAAGATTCCCATGTCCCACACCGGAGTGTCTAGGCTCCAAGACCAGCTCCTGCCAAAGCCAGTCCTGGCGCCTGGCACCCATGTGCTGCTGCAGGCATTTGGGGGAGTGAACCAGCAGATGGGAGCTGTATCTGCCTCTGCCTCTCAGCACAGTCATTTTTCAAAGTCCAAGGAAAATGTGTGTTCTGAAAAAAGCCACGCATGGATTTCAAAATCTTTGCAACAACAGAAAGTTAGGCCTTAGTCCTATTTACCCACAAGTTTTTCTGAAGTGCCTCCGTGGCTCCTGCCAGGGTCAGCCACTGGTCTCTGTCATAGTAGACGTGTGAGTCCATCCCCACCTGTGCGGCGGACTCGCCATCCTGCTCTTAGCTAAGCTGCGACACGGCCGACGGCTGGGTAGGAGCAGAGTGTGTAGCAGTTACGGCGCCGGTCCCTGGGAGCCCTCGCTGACCTTCCGCGCTTCCTGTCCTAGGTGTGAACCCCAGCGCCAACTACCACGCCCTCTACCGCTACTTTGTGGAGCTCTGGATCTACCTGGGGCTGGCCTGGCTGTCCCTGTTTGTCAACTGGAAGGTGAGCATGTTCGTGGAGGTCCACAAGGCCATTAAGAAGCGGCGGCGGCGGCGGAAGGAGTCCTTCGACAGCTCCCCGCGCTCCAGACAGGCCCTACAAGTGGCCGGGAGCACCGCCTCCAAGGACGTCAACATCTTCAGCTTCTTGTCCAAGAAGGAGGAGACTTACAATGACCTCATCAAGCAGATCGGCAAGAAAGCCATGAAGACAAGCACGGCTGGCGAGAGGGGCCCAGGCCCTGGGCCTCAGGCAGGTGGGCTGCCAGCCCTGCCCCCTTCCCTGGCGCCCCTGGTAGTCTACTCCAAGAACCGGGTGCCCAGCCTGGAGGAGGTGTCCCAGACCCTGCGCAGCAAAGGCCACGTGTCCAGGCCGCCGGGCGGCGAGCAGGACGGGGCACAGGCCCCTGAGGATGGCTCCCCCAGCTCCGAGGTGTTCATCAACCAGCTGGACCGCATCAGCGAGGAGGGCGAGCCGTGGGACGCCCAGGACTACCACCCGCTCATCTTCCAGAACGCCAACATCAACTTTGTCCACGAGGACGCCGGCCTCTCGGACGAAGAGACCTCCAAGTCCTCACTGGAGGACAACCTGGCGGTGGAGGAGAGGCCGCCGGAGGGCGCCAGGGCCGAGGCACCGCTGACCACGGCCGAGGTCCCCTCGTCGGACGAGTCCACGTTCACCAGCACTGAGTCTGAGCTCTCTGTGCCTTACGAGCAGCTGCTGAATGAGTACAACAAGGCCAGTGGCCCCAAGGGCACGTGAGGCGGGGCCGGCTCCCCACCCCACCCTCGATGGCTCCTTTGGCCCTCGCCCTGGGGTGTCCCGTGACGGCTGGGACCCCCGGAACTCTGGCGGGGGACAGACCTGGCACTGGGAGTGGGGGGCCAGGGGCCTTCCTTACCTTCCAGCCCCTCCAGTTCGATGCCACTGCTGGGATGGGGCCTGCTCCCCAGCTGAGCGGTGCCCTGGCAGTGAGGAGGCGGCTGTCCCCAGCGTGGCAGGTACATGATGGTTAGGACTGACCCCAGGAGGCCCGGGCCTCTTCGCCTGGTTGAATGTCACGTGGTATTAAGGGGCGATGTCTGTGTGTGCCTGGCACCGGGCTAGATGTTTCAGAGAGAAAGAGAGAGGAGGAGGGCTCTGCCTTTGGGGAGGTACAGTTCTGCCCCCTGGGGCGTGGGCATTCCAGGGCCGCAGTGGTGGGGCCTGTCCCCCAAGGCCGCCTGTCTGTGCGATGGCTGCTGGGGGTGGGGGAGGAGTGAGGATGATGACGGGCGGGTGCTGAAACGGTCCTGCTTCGGTGGACCCAGGAGACTGCTCCTCCTTGCTAATTTCCTCAGACCTAGCCCAGAGCCCTGTTTCCTGCCTCGGCCTCCCTGTGGCCTGGTGATGGCCTCTGTCCACCTCCACCCCAACCCTGGGAGCGCTGGGAGGAACGGAACGGAGGGCGTAGGGCCTGGGCCCCTGGGAGATGGGTGCCCTGGGCTGGCAGCCAGGGAGCTCCAGGGAGGCTTGGCTCTAGCCAGTTCTCCCTGCCCAGCCCCGCCCTGGCCCAGGGTCTCCCCATTCAAGTCCTCACCATGCCCCTCCCTGTCCCACCTGCCGCCCCCCACCCCCCACTCAGCCAGATCACTCTGGGCTCACACGTGGGGAGCGGCCAAATATGTGAATCAAACTCCTATCTCCAGCTCCTGCCTGTCACGCGCACACGTGTGTGTGGGGCCCAGCAGGAAAGGTGTTGGCGGGGAGCAGACGATAATGTGAAACTGTGCACGGACTCTGTTTCTGCTGAGAGGCGGGCGGGGCGCGCTGCTGCCCGGGTTCTTAGCGCTCCCTGAGGCCCCAGCCCATTCTGATCTGAATGTTGTGATTTTTTTTTTTTTTTCAATGAACTGCTGTTTTTCTATTCCTGGCACCTGTGGTTTCAGAACCGGTTACAGAGCAGAGTCCTGAGAACCGAGGTGTCCTGTACTTCCCGCCCCCGGCACTGGGCCCCATGCAGGTGGGAGGGAGCACCTGTTGGCAGGTGAGCAGAGGAGCAAGGGGCATCCATGTGACCGGGAGCCAGGCCCCCAGCCCCGCCCTCAGCTCACCCTCTGCTGTGGGGGCAGATGGGGCCAGAAACCAACCCCTCCCCCACCCATGAAGGTGGTGGGCGTGTGTCCATTCCCTACTGGGTGGCAGGGTGGGCGCCCAGCAGGGCCAGGCAGGAGCCGCCCTGTGTCTGAGTCGTTCCCACGAGCGCGTCTTGCTGCTGGCTGTCCCTGCAGCGCACGCTGTATCCGCGGATGGCAACCATGTCAAATGTAATTTATTTTAACATTTTTACAATAAAACATGAGACAGATAAGCTGTTTTGGGGTGTGTGTGTTTGGAGGGTGAGGACCCTGGGAGGGTCCAGAAAAAGCAGGGGGATCTCAGGGCGGCGTCAAGAGGGTCGGATGGTCTGGGAGGAAAGGAATGAAGGGGTGAAGGGAGGAGAGGAGGCAGCCTCTTGGGTCGGGCGAGAATGGAGAGACGTGTGGAGGGCCAGGGTCGGCCAGGGTCAGGGGAGGAGGGCAGGGGTGACCCTGGCAGCAGCAGTGTCTGGGCCCAACTCTCAGTGACATGCATGAGCTCGGCTGACATCATGACAGCCCTGTGAGGGGGCTGCCGCAACCCCACTGTACAGATGGGGAAACTGAGGCACGGGGACATTGTCGGTAAGGATGGTGAGTCTGGATTCAAATCCAGGCAGCCTGGCTCCCAGGCTGATGGGGGCGAGGCGGGGCTCCCTGGGCGGGGTGTGGTCTCCAGGACAGATTCCGAGCTCGGGGGCTGGGTGTGGGCCTGTGGTCCCAGGCCGAGCTGGCCCCCATCTCCCTCCGCTGAAAGGAGCTGAATGTTCCCAGGTGCCCTTCTCAACACAGAGTCTCCTGGAGAAAGCAAAGTGCTGAGGGCCTAGGAGTCGAGTTTTCTGACGTCAAGAGGGAAGCCCATCTTTTCTTGAGAGCGTGGATGTATTTAAAAGGGTCCTGCGTGTTCCCCGGCCAGTTCTGTATCTGCTCCCTGCCCTCTCTCCCACACAGGTCCCAGGTGCCCTGGTGTGCAACACTGCGAGCACTACCTGTATTCAGGCTTGACCCCGCTGCGGCTGAGACGGGGGCCCAGAGAGGGTGACTTCCGCAGTACACACAGTTGGGGCTTGGGGGTGATAAAGCCCGGTGGAGCCGGCCAGGAGCTTTCCAAGAAAAGGGTGGAAGGTGGACAGAGGCAGGACATAAAAGGGCAGGGCCCGGAAGGCCCCCAGGTGGCGAAGGGTCACGGGCAGAGGCGGGGTGCTGTGCAGGGGTGTGGTGAGAGGTGGGGGATGGGAGGCAGGTGGGCTGACCCCAGGTGCTTTGGAAATCACAGGGGACAGGAAGGAAAATCCCCCTGTGGAAGCCCCTAGTGAGTTTCTAACCCAGGGCAGAGACCTTGACAAGTGAGACACCATCAGCAGGGTCCTCACCTGCGCCCCTTAGAGCCCCAAAGGGGGCGCTTGGGCTCCACTGGGCCCTTCCCGACAGCACCCCTGGCCTCTGGCCCTGCTGTGCCCCAGAACTAAGCCAGCAGCCCTGTTCCACCCCAGCCCCTCCTGGACTTACCATTGATCTGTTCCGCTAACGCTGTGCAGCCTGGGGTGCAGCTGTGTAAATGGGCGGAAACCCTACAGCCACAGAGCCCTCAGGCACACCTGATGCTCTCATCCCTGGCCGTTTTTCATGATTTGTGCTTTGTATCTACCATAGTCCTTCAAAAGCAGTTCAATGAGAATGGAATAGGAAGAGGACAGCGCTGTGGCTCAGTAGGTTAATCCTAAACCTGAGGTGCCAGCATCCCATATGGGTGCTGGTTCGTGTCCCGGCTGCTCCTCTTCCGATCCAGCTCCCTGTTATGGCCTGGAGAAAGCTGTGGGAAATGGCACAAGTGCTTGGGCTCCTGCACCTGTGTGGGAGACCTGGAAGAAGCTCCTGGCTCCTGGCTTTGGATCGGCTCAGCTCCAGCCGTCGTGGCCATTTTGGGAGTGAACCAGGGGATGGAAGACCTCTCTTTGCTTCTCCTTCTCTGTAACTCTGCCTCTCAAATAAATAAATAAATAAATAATTTTTTTTAAAAAAAGAAATGGAATAAAAAATAAATTTGATGCAAAAAAATTTGACATGCAGGCATGCATCCTAAAAGTCTTCCAAAAGGTTGAGGGAGTGCCTATTATGAGAAACTAGGCGGCAGGCTCTGGAGAGGAACGACGCCGCCTGCCAGGGTGGTGCTGGAGAGCGTGGCCAGCAGTGTGAAGGCGCAGCTCCCGCGTGTCTGAAGCGGCTCCCAGTCCCGGAAAGCATCATCGGGTTCCCCGACTCGCAGTTTCAGAATGGCTCAGCTGCTGCCCTTGGTGTACTCACGCTACACAGCTACCTTGCAGTTAGACCATTTTTCCAGAAGGAGAAAGGGACAGAAGGCCAGCTTGGTGAATCTTACAATACAAAAGGAAAATCCAGAAGCGGTGAATGAAACCCATGTTGAAGACCTGTGTCTAACTAAAGCAGCTCGCTGGCGTGCTCGGACACTTCCTGCCAGGGGCGGCTCAGATATTAAACACGGTGAACGGACAGGAGAGGATGTGGGCCCGCTAATACTGAAGAAAAAGGTCTAACAGTAATGAACCAGGATTGGAGTCAGTTGTGTGCTGTAAAGTCTTATAATGGTTTCTCAGTCTTTGCAGAATATATGAAATGGTGGTCTTCATTATCTCTACTGGTTGAATAATTATTTCTGCCAATTTATTTTCTTGCTACAGTAGTATTTATATTTGATACTTTATATAGTCATTTATGTAGACATTAAATTGTCAAACCTCATTCTGACTTCCCAAGAATGAATGTAACTTTCGCAGGCGCCACTGCTCACTAGGCTAATCCTCCACCTTGCGGCGCCGGCACACCGGGTTCTAGTCCCGGTCGGGGCACCGGATTCTGTCCCGCTTGCTCCTCTTCCAGGCCAGCTTTCTGCTGTGGCCAGGGAGTGCAGTGGAGGATGGCCCAAGTGCTTGGGCCCTGCACCCCATGGGAGACCAGGAGAAGTACTTGGCTCCTGGCTTCAGATCAGCATGGTGCGTCGGCCGCAGCGCTGGCCATTGGAGGGTGAACTAACGGCAAAGGAAGACCTTTCTCTCTGTCTCTCTCTCTCACTGTCCACTCTGCCTGTCAAAAAAAAAAAAAAAAAAAAGAATGTAACTTTCAACAGTAAAATCAACATTTCTGATTTGAATTACTTGAAGAAAATCTGAATTTGGGCAATGGGTCCAAAGTTATTTCTTTGAATATCAATATCTTCAACAGAATCTGCACTTGAGAAATTTTCCTGTTTCCTGTTAACTATAAAAACTATGCATGGGTTTTGAAAGTTTTTTTGCACCAAAATAAACATTTTAATTGCATTTTCTGTGAACATTTTCAAGTGTCCTTGTAAATTCTGTCCCTTTCTCCCAACTCTTTTAATGTCTTTTAATCTTCACAATGCCATTATTTCCTTTTAAAGATTTATTTATTCAAAAGGCAGGGAAAGAGAGAAATCTGAAGCATCCATTGTTTCACTCCCAAAATGACCTCGCTGAAGCCAGGAGCCAGGAACTATCTGGGTCTCCCACTGGGTGGGAGTACTTGGGCCACCATCTAGTGCCTTTGCTGCCTTCCCATGTGCCTTTGCAGGGAGCTGGATCGGAAGCAGGGCAGCCAGGGCTCGAATGGGATGCTGGCATCCCAAGCATCGAGCAGCTTCAACCACAATGCGGGCCTCACAAGAGCATTAACCTTTCGTCCCATTTTACAGATGAGGACACTGAGGCCATCCTGTCCCCTGGTGCCACAGCCCAACAGTTACAGGCCCTCACTTGCCCAGGGCACTGCCACCTGAGTGTTGAATGAAGGAGTCTCCCTGTCTCAGTATAGACTCACCTTGCACTGGCCATCACAGCGACCAGCAGGGTTTATCCTAAGCCCCCTTTCTCCCTTGCTTTAAACTCCCTACCAGGGGGTCGTGTGCCCTCCCCCAACCCCAGTTCCCGTGCACTTGTTCTTCCTGCCCCGCCTGTCGATCTGGCACAGCCTCTGTCCGTGCAGTATCTTCAGATGCCCTTGCTCTTTCTCCTGGGTGAGTTTCTCCAGGAAGCGTCCCACAATTACCGGCCCCCATGCCTGGGTGCCGGGACAGGTGTCCAGCTCTGTGCCCTCAGCAAGCCTCCACAGTGCTGTCCCCCGAGCTCCTGTCCCCGGCCCTGACTGGAGGCATCCGAGGGTCCCTGGAAGGACAGAGCATGAGCTAGAGTCCTGGCCCCTGCTGCAGACTGTGCCGTCTTCTGTTCCCGGGGCAGACCAGGGGCAGGCTTGGTTCCACAAGGGCGAGTCCCTGCAGAGCCCGGTGGATGGCCTGGAGGGACCTTGTCGCAGGCCAAGGTGACTCGCTGACTCACCCCGTCTCGTGCCAAGCACCTGAACCTGGAGCGCAGCACCTCATCTGCCCCCTCTCAGGGCGTGCTGTTGTCTACCTTGCATCGGCATGCCCCACCCTCCTCACTGTCTTCTCACCAACCCCAAATGATCCGAGAGCTGGGCCCCCCCCAATAGCTCCCAAATCCCCGTGCATCCCTGGAGAAAATCTCTGCTCCCGGTGACCTCTCGTGGTGCCCCCCCACCCCCCACCCTTGACACAGCGCCGTCACACCTGTTCCCCCGTGGATTACTCAACTGCCCCAGGAGCCAGGTGCAGCACTTTACAGCCCCATTTACAGGCTTTTGCAATTGAGGAAATTCAGTCTGTTGGTTTGGCTCCCCAGTGCAAGGCCAGTGCTGGAGCTGGGGTGTGGAAGGAAGGAGTAGCAGAAAGGGATGTGGAGCTAAAGACCTGCCATCAAGGTGCAGCCTTGAGCTCTGGGCTCTGCCCTGCTGCAGCCCCTCTGCAGACTCTGAAGACAGCGCCCCCTGCAGGACAGGAGCTGCTGCTGAGTTGTGTGGGTTTTTGTTTGTTTGTTTTGTTTGTTTGTTTTTTCAGGCAAAGTTAGTGAGAGAGAGAGAGAAAGAAAGAGAAAGGTCTTCCTTCCATTGATTCACTCCCCAAATGGCCGCTACGGCCAGTGCGCTGCGCTGATCCGAAGTCAGGAGCCAGGTGCTTCCTCCTGGTCTCCCAGGCGGGTGCAGGGTCCAAGCACCTGGGCCATCCTCCACTGCCTTCCTGGGCCACAGCAGAGAGCTGGACTGGAAGAGGAGCAACCGGGACAGGATCCGGCGCCCCAACCGGGACTAGAATCTGGGGTGCCGGCACCGCAGGCGGAGGATT